TGTGAACGAGGCCCAGGACCCTGGTTACCATGGCAACCCTGACACCTTTGCTAGACCAGATAGATTTTACGACCTAATGGCATGTTGAGAGTCCTCCCCCTCTCACTGCATTTTCCAAAGGAAGAGACACAATGCACAGTAGGAATGGACTTTCTACTAATTAATTCATAGGAAAACCTTTCTTTGAATGAACACACATATCCTTCAGGTCATTGTGTATGTTGTCTTTGAGATTTTATACTGTTTTATGCAGGCTTATGACACAACCACTCGTTCCTGTCATCTTGCCTATATGTAATCCTACCATGTTTAGTATCTATGAATTCGCCTTCTGATGATCTAAACGAGCGACTAGTTTAAGTGTTTATGTAGTATGTTGGACTAGTTTAAGTGTTTATGTAGTTAATAAATTCTTACTTGTATCACACTTGACGTTGGTCATTGTTTGCTCATAACTGCAGATTTATGCTACAGGCTCTGTGTAGAGTTGTACAGTAAGAAAGTTATTTCCCTTAACCAGGAAATTAACGTTCTTAGAATTGACAGACAGTTGACCCTGAGAGGTCAAGTAAATATCTACAGCGGATCTAAATATTTATAATTAATTATAACTAGTTATGATTAATTATTCATATTTCCCCATGAGCTGATTCGCTACAGAGTCATTCATAAAATTGAATAGTTTATAAATTTTCCTCCATATAACTGCATTTTGAAAGAGTTTTGAATACATTCCTGCTGACAAAAACACGCAACCTTAAATTGATAGTTGACATACATAAAAAAAAACTCTGACATACATTAAAAAACATATAAAAATTACTAAAACAAAACACTGAGACATTTCTCAAAACATATTATTTTGTGTTCCACAGAAGACAAAGTCATACAGATTTGGAATGACATGAGTGTAGGTACATTTTTGAGTGAACTGTCCCTATAAGCTGGTTTATGATGGTCTCCTGGTGTGGCAAAGCTGGTCTTTAGTTAGTATGACAGGTGCCCAAAACAGCTCTATAACAAGCCACAAAAAAAGAAAAAAAAACCTTAGGCCGGCTTCAGATGTATTTTTTCCATCTCTGATGTTGTTTAAATAACATTCAGACTAATTTAATAATGCTTTCAGCAACCGATAGATTGTAGTACTCTAAGCTCCATTTAACATATTTTAGCATATTTAAATCTTTTCTGAAGAATTGTGCTGATTTTCTCCCACAATCAGTGCTGAAAACATGACAAAAATGTGCTGATTTCCACCGAGAGTGATCCAAGAACAAAACAAGATGATTAACAGAGATGATTAGTACACTAATGGAGGCTATTAAGGATAGAGAGAGCTGCAGAATGAGAAGGGGTTGGGGATTTGAGAGGAAAAAAGCGTTTAAAATGGACAGAGATGACATACAAGTAACTACAAATGAAATGGCATCTGTGCGTCCACAGAGCTTGGGTCGACTAGATTAAGATAAATCTTTTCATAACTCTGAGGTCTCAGTGAGGTACTTACAAACACAACACATGTATGCTTGAGCTCACATTCACCTCTGTGACACTGGACTGATATTATTGCACTCACTCACTCACTCACTCACTCACTCAAGACATATATCATCTCAACATCCTCCCTCTCTTCCCTTCATTCTCTTCTTACTTTTTATGTGTATCATATTTCTTAGCAATATTAAGCTCCAATGACACCCATAGTCAGCATGAGTTGGTGCATTATGGGAAGTGCACTCGTTGTCATGCTCGAGTTTGTGTGTGTCTGTGTGAGAAAGAATTATGGAGGGGCACTCATGACTCCACACAGAAAATGGATGATCTTTGTTAGGGAGCCATAATTCATAGTGCTGTAATTGATTGGTGAGTTCCTTCTTTCTGATTTACAACCAGAAAGAAGGAAAGAAATAAAAGAGAGACTGTTGATAGAGACAGAAAGAGAACACAGAGTGAAATAGAAACAAGGAAGCGAATGTGTCTAAATAGGACATGATAATGATCTCTCATCTCATCTGCCATATCTTCCATGTGAAGTATGAATGAGCTCCCCAGTGACAAAGGAGTCAGTTTAACAGTTTTTTTTTTTGTTGTTGATTAAATCAGATTTGGAGTGAATAAGACAATGTCCCTAGATAATGTTATCAATGACAGAGCTTGCCTTAACTGTGCACAAATCAGTGTTTCACGCTGATTCTTGTAACCAAGAAGCTAAAAAGGATCTATTTGTCTGCACCAGGGCACAGTGGGTAGTGCACATACTCCTGACACATAAAAGCCTTTGTGCTTGCAGGGACACCAGTCTGAATTAGGCCTGTGTCGTGCCCAATGCTCGACCCCCTCTCTTTTTGTCTTCACAATTCTATATATATAATATTAGTGGTTCAACGGATCACAAAACTCACGGATAGGATAATTTTGCTGTTTTTGAGTCACGGATCGGATCATTTTCAGATCAGCAAGTAAAAACAAATTATATCAATGTAACTTTGCTTTCCATTTATTACTTAAAGCACACTTTAAGTACTTCTTCAATACTACAGCTTCAAACATGATTAAAGGTAATTGAACAGCCAGATAAATAGAAAATAAATATAGATTAATCTTTGTTAAAGACGTGTTTTGTTGTTTGATTAATATTAAAGGGGTCATATGATGCGATTTCAATTTTTCCTTTCTCTTTGAAGTGTTACAAGCTCTTGGTGCATAAAGGTGTATGTAAAGTTGCAAAGACTAAAGTCTCAAATCCAAAGAGATATTCTTTATAAAAGTTAAGAGTCAACCACGCCTACCTAAAATAGCTCATTCTAACACGTCCCCACATGTCTAAGTCATGATGTGGGAAGATTTGCCTATCGCCGCCCAAATGTTCACGCAAAGAAAGAAGGCGTAATTTTAAATCTCGCTGTAGTATTGTTGCCGCCGCTGCCTCGTGAAGACGCTGTGTGTTTCGTTGTGAAAGCGAAACTACTTTGTTTGGTCTTCCAAAAGAGGAC